AGGTTCCTGTGGAAAGGCACTGACAGTAGGGTGAAAACATAGCTGTTATGATGCAGGGGTGAGCTGCAGGACCTGGGACCAGATTTTGGCTGCTCTGTGTGTGCCGCAGCATCCCTGTCCTAGCAGAGATGCCCTTACAGCAGATGGGAGCAGGTTTAGACGCTATTGTCTCTGGGGTTTGGGGGTTAACGCCTCCTACTTCTGCCCTGTGCAGTTTTTTAAAAGGCGCTTTCACATAGCGGGATTTTGGCTTTGATTTAAAACAAGAAAACAGGACAAAAATGAAGAAGTGGGAGCAATCTCAGACTTTACCTCATTTCGGGGTGTAACTGGGCTCAAACCTGTGCCGAGGGTGACCCCCAAGCCAGGGGTTCAAGGGCCTGACCAGCAAAGGCCTTTGGTTCCTGCAGGGACGGGAAGGAACCACAGCTTCACAGAGCTGGTACACTGCAAAAAGAATCATTCTGTATAACAGAGGGTTTGTAGTTTCTGGGGAGATTTGGCAGTGTCATGAAGTGATTTGTTTGTCACAAGCTAAAACCATTGGGCTTTTTCACCGCCATCAACGTGCAGGCCCTGCACTTGTAAGGCCTTGCACTCATCATAAGGCCTTTCCGTCAATGCCCTGCAGGCAGTGAAATTAAAATATATTACAGTCTGAGGTGAAACACCTTGTCTGCGGCATCTGGGCAAGTCATTGGGGCCCTTTGAGTCTTCCTGTGGTAGTCCAGCTTATCATTGCTGTTATCTGTTGAAGGGATTTTAGGAGATATTTCACAGAAGGCTCTGTTGACTGTGTGTTATTGACACATTCTTAGCTTAAAACCATTATCATGTTAAAGCCCTGGATTTAGAAACTAATTACAAGACATTAATAGCTAAGCCTGAAGAGCTAAGTCATGCAAATATTGCTATTTGTAAAGTTGAATATACAAAAACTGTTTGAACTGCTGACTTAGTAACTGGAGTCTAAAAGCAATCTGTAAGGTGGCAATAAATCTGAGCACAGTCCTCCACAACTGTTTTCTAATGTGTCCATGAAATTAATGGCACAGTTGTTATGAAAGTCGTACTGGGGAATGTGGCTATTTTTTTCCCCAAGTAGGTTAATTATCACTAATGTAATTATTTTTGTACTGATTTTTATTTTAATCAAACATTGCATGGAACAATTTAGTTCAGAACAAATAGCTTATTACAGAAGTGTTTGTGGTGGTGAGAAAAAAAGCAGCGATGTTTAAATTATACACATATATTGAGTTACTTTATTCATTAAAATGAACAATTATGTTAGACCTTATGAGACAGGCTAAGCGTTTCTTGTTAATGCTTGTTCTGTAGCGAACATAATAAGAATTTCTATTGGAAATGGATCCCATCTCTCTAGTTCGAGGCATTTGTGAACTATTTTTTTTAATCAATTCTTTTGAATGTCCTACAATGAACCAGTTGTGGGATTGTTTGGAGATCTTTCTGTGGGTTTTTTTCCCATTTATCGGATCAGTTATTCAGTGGATGAACTATGATAGCATCAGTCTGCACGTTATACTGTTGAAGATGTGCCACTTACTGTGATGATGAGTGGATGATGGGTAGACCTGTGATTTTTCAAGACATGAGATGTGCCCACAGCAGGTAGTGCAGTCCAGGTTTTGTATCCTTCCCAAATCTGGCAGAATTATAGGGGAGGAGTTCGTTGTGTCCCTCGGTACTGATGTGGTCAAGTGCTAAGTTCCAGATGCGCACTCGTTGGGTAGCGGTGAGCACAGCGTGGCTGGCTACATCTGAAAGTGGTGGTGGTATGGAAAAAATAAACTCCCTGATTCTGTGTGCTATTTCTGTACATGACCGAGATGGAATGTTCTACATAAAAAAGCAACATTTATATGAATTGCAAGAGTGCCTCCTCATGATTTATGAAATTGTTTACTTACTGCTTTCTAGATTATAATTAGCGTTTTCAGATAATCACTTTTTGATGATGGGGTGAGAGTTTATTATATTTGCCTGTAGAAATTTGGGATTTGTATGTATACAGCACTCCTCCTCCATGGATCTCAGCAGTTTCTGTAGGTCTTTGTAATAAATATGATGTACAGCACCTATAGTTTTGGGTGGGGAAGTCTCCACCCATATGGTCTTGATCCTGAAACTCCAAACTCACAATCTTCAAGCAAGCAGTTTCCAGTTCATAGTGACTGAAAGTACTGAGGAAAAAGCCATTGAATAGAGGCAGGTTTAGATTTAAGTAAGTGCAATAAATGACTGAATATAACAATTACTTGCCACAATAGAAGTCTTTTTTAGATCCAGTTTTTCAAAAGCTAAATTATTTCAAGGAAACTGCAGTAAAAGCTGGAAGAAGGAGGGAGGGGAAAAGGCAGACAGAAAAGAAGTACATCAGGCACAATTATTAGATCCTAAAGCAGCCAGATACACAGTGAACATTTTGTTGGGTTTGTTTGCTTTTCTGAAAGGAGTTATGAAGCAGTTTATTTCAAGGACAAAAAATGTTTTAAAAATCTTCTGAGTGGGAGAAGCCCTCTAGGTTGACCCAAATCCTTGTCTCCCAGTGCCAGGCTCTGGTGCCAGGTGCATTACCTGACAGGCAATTTTCATCATTAATTTCCTTGCCAGAAGCTGCACGTATCTGAGGGCAGCGATACAGAGGTGTTGTGGGGCTGTCCCAGGAGAGCAGGAAAAGGACTTTTCATTATTTTCCCTGGTCTCCTATTTATCTTTTTACACACGGCGTCTGTGCAGAATAAAGTATCTTTAGGCTGTCCCAAGTACCCAGCAGAGCCATGGACTATGTTTGAGAACATGGAAATTCATCATTTTACAGTCATAAGGGATATGATAACACATTAATAATTCTGTGGTCTTGTGAGATATTAGCATGCAGAAAATTGGTGAGAATCTTTCCATCACTGGGTCAAAACCCATGCAGTTGGGATGCCTTTCTCATTTCATACCAACCCATGCTGTGAAAAGGGCACTGAGTAAGTCCTGTGTTTAATAGTTATGACCAGAGATGGAAGCTCCAGCCTGGCTCGGTGTGTCTCACTTTCCAGCTGTACAGGTAAGTTGTAGTTACCTTTTAAAAGGGCAAGATAGGAATCAGTGATTAAGAAGAGTGAAAGAAGATGCAAACTGTCTGTCAGTTGGTTTCTCGAGGAATTGTCATGAAATTTTTCACCCCTGTTTCATGGGTTGGAAATCTTGGCCCTGGTGCTCTTTCCTCACCGTCTCTTTGGTTCTCGCTCCTGCTGACCTCTTCCGTGGTGCCTCTGCAGGAGGTTACCTGCACACGTGCCAGTGTACCCCGGCTCTGCTGCGAGGAGCACGCACAACCTGGGAATTCAACTCCAGGTTTGTAAAGGGCTTGTTACAGCCCTTAGTTGGAGCAGTGACGGAGTCGGGCATGGAAATGGTATTCCTGGCTCCTTATGAGAGCTTCCAGTAAGTCCCAACTACAATTTACAGGCACAATTAAATGAGTCTTTGTATTCTCCTTTATCATCAGTATTCCTTTGGCTCCTGTAAGCTCCATACCTTCAGCTCAGCACAGCATGAAAGAAGAGCTCATGGATTTTTTTTATTTTTATTTCAGACTAAGTTGTGAATATTGAAGGTTAATGAAGTTTCTCGAGCAGTGGCAGACCTCTAGAATACCTGTTATTGAGGGATTATTTTTATAACATTCACAGCAGAGACTCTTGGTAGTGTGGTATTTGAGCAGTGTGTGACTTTAGGGTTTGTTTTTTTTTCCAGTAGATGAAATGAAGATGATACAGGCTCTGTTTTGAATTAAATTAGGAAAGTGCAACTTAATCCTTCAATTTAAGACTTGCAGACCCCAGTCTTCCTGTATACATTAATAATCAAGGCAGCAGATTCCAGAAACTCATCTTAGAATTTTTTACTTGCAGGGAAAATAGTGGAGCTTGTAAGCTTTTAAGTAACCTTAAAAAATAGCTGAAATTTTGTTTTTAATAACAGTTATTCACAACTATCACAGGAGATCAAGTTTTATATTTGGAAGAGCCATGTACCACACACACACACACACAGAGCAGCTATTCGAGCCACTGAAATTTTACTGGGCAGCTGAGTTAGCGACTGGTGCGATGAAATGGCACTGGGAATGTGGGACCTTCCCAGTCTGGGTGATTTCAGGGGCACTCCAGTGCCGAACCTCCCTTGTTTGTGGAGAAGTGGCTTTAGTCTGGAGTATTGTGGAATGATTTGTGAGTCTTATTTTTCTGCAGTGCTTGGGAGCCTTTGTGCACATGCTTTGGAATTTAACTCTCTTAAGACTGCAGAGCAAGTGAGACTTTCCATTTGTTTAATATAATCGTTTATAATTTGCATTCCCAGAAGCATGTATGGTATTTCAGAAGCAGAACTGACTCTGAAATGAAATTTTATCTAATTATTGCATTTTTCACTGATGACTGTTTTCTTCGTCCTTCATATTTCTTCGTGTCACAGATCTTGCCGCGTTCTCACTGGTTCCATGCCCTACGTAGGGCACGTTTCCATCTCATTTGAAACATTTGAAATATTAACCTGGTCTGTAGTAGTTCCAAGGAGGGAGATTCTTGTTCTCGTCTCGGTAAGAAGCCCCAAGCTCTGGATGTGTGAAAAGCAGTTTTGTGAATGTAACTGCTGCCTTCCCTCAAACCGTTGCAGCGTTTTTACTGATTTTTGTGAAACAAGGAAGTGGTTTACGTTCTGCTGTTTTATCTGCTGCTGTGTGTCTCTGAAAATGAAGGAAATTAAAAGAAGGCAAATGAAGGCAGTTAACAGTCGTGCATTAGACACTAGCCTGTGTGGTTCCTGGTGCTTTTTCAGGAGTCTACCACATATAAAGTTTCTCCATTTGTTTCTTCTCTGTTGCAGGTTCTCCCTTGGTCCTCCCCACTTCTATTCCCACCCTGATTGTCTGACAGTACCGTGTAAATAACCGTCCTCTGTCTATTTGACGTGTCTCATAGATTGACGAAATGCAGTGGGGCAGAGGCGTGCGCGAAGTCCCGTCCTCGGTGTGCAGCCTGCCCTGCAAGCCGGGGGAGAGGAAGAAGATGGTGAAGGGGATGCCGTGCTGCTGGCACTGCGAGCTCTGCGACGGCTACCAGTACCAGGCTGACGAGGTGACCTGCCTGCTCTGCTCCTACAACGAGCGGCCCAACGAGAACCGCACGGGGTGCCGCGCGATACCCATCGTCAAGCTGGAGTGGCACTCGCCCTGGGCCGTCATACCCGTCTTCTTGGCCATGCTGGGAATTATCGCCACCATTTTTGTCATGGCAACGTTCATCAGATACAACGACACTCCCATCGTCCGGGCTTCGGGGAGGGAGCTCAGCTATGTCCTGCTGACAGGGATATTTCTGTGCTACATAATCACCTTTCTGATGATCGCCAAGCCAAACGTCGCAGTGTGCTCCTTCCGCCGTATCTTCCTGGGCCTGGGGATGTGCATCAGCTACGCAGCCCTGTTAACCAAAACAAACCGCATCTACCGCATCTTTGAGCAGGGCAAAAAGTCGGTGACAGCACCCAGGCTCATAAGCCCCACATCGCAGCTGGCGATCACGTCGAGCTTGATATCTGTTCAGCTTCTAGGTGTCTTTATTTGGTTTGCAGTTGACCCACCCAACATCATCATAGATTATGATGAGCAGAAAACTATGAACCCTGACCAAGCCAGAGGTGTCCTCAAATGTGACATTACGGATCTACAAATCATTTGTTCCTTGGGTTATAGCATTCTTCTAATGGTTACGTGTACTGTGTATGCCATCAAGACTCGGGGTGTCCCAGAGAATTTTAATGAAGCTAAACCCATTGGATTCACTATGTACACTACCTGTATAGTATGGCTTGCCTTCATTCCAATATTTTTTGGCACTGCCCAGTCAGCCGAAAAGGTAGGTGAAAATGAACGAACGTATGTAGCAGGATTCACTGCACTTACAAATTACGCACTGTTCGGCTTTACGTGGATTTTAAAATGAGCTGTCCAGTTAGCTCATTACTGAGCCATGTGCAATATATAGCACCATTTTCCTTCTCCATTTACCTCATGGGCTATTCATTTGATAAACTGGCAAATGATCAATAGCAATCATATTACCCATTGGTTTTATTGTTGCATCCATTTCAGTTGTATCTTTTCAGTAGGATAAGTGGGAATTAACTGTCATACTGCCCAGCAAGAGGCATCTCTTAACTGAATCATTTTGAATACAAGATGTAAGCAAAAAAAACCTGTCAAAAACCAGTCAAGTGGACTCCTGTGCCTCTGGAGTTCAGCACTGAGGGCAGTGCTAGGGCTGAGGAGTGCTCTGCTTCACAAGCAGCAGCCTCGGGTCACATTTACACGGAGGTAAATGGTGTCCTGAGCTCGGGGGCACATTTTACACCACATAAGTGGTGCGTCCTGAGCTCGGGGGCACATTTACATCACAGGGAAATGTGTCCTGAGCTTGGGGTCACAGTTACAGGCAGGTAAGTGGTGTGTCCTGAGCTCTGGCTGCTGGGACTGCACTGGCGCTGCTCTTGTGTTGGTTATTTTAAGCCAGTCCATGTGGACAGACCCTGCAGCTCCTGGCAGGGCATAGCTGCAGTCCTGGGGTGATGCCAGGTTGCTTCTCTTTGTCAGTGAGGTCCATGTGAGCCCATGCCATTCATTCAGCAAAAGCTAGTCCAAAACATTACACTTTGTGCTTGATGAGAGATCTGGGTTTATTTCTCTCTCAGTCTTGTTTGGAGACTGCTGTAATTTCCGAGTGATTTGGCAAATACCTGCAACTCCAGGGAGAAATGGCAATACCAGGTGTCCTGCCCTGCTCTTGGGCTGTTTTACCTCCCAGCCCTGACCCCGTCTCCTTCATCCCCAGCCCAGAGAAAACTCCTGCAGGGTCTCCTTACCCACAGCGTGCTCCAGCTGGACCTGGGAGCCGTCACTGACCTCACCTCCCACACATCTTGCATGGATGTGGTAGTTATTTAGTAGTTAGTGACAGTTATCCCCAGTTACTGTATCCAAACTTGCCTGTGCAGGAGAGCTTTGGCACCTTACTGGTTTTTTTCCCCTTTATCTTCATGTAACGTTTCTCTTAGCACAAGACTCGGGCAGGCTCACAGCTGTGGATAAAATTACTGCATCTCTTAAATGAGTGTGCAAATTTCAGGTCCCAGCTAACACATCTCATTACGTGCCAGGGATATCATGTCCCAGTTTGCAATTATTAAACTTGTAGGTGACTGAAGTAACATTGCAGGGAGGCGCGGCACCGTGGTGGGTGTTCGGGTGCTTTGGCTACCAGCCCCTTCATAGAAAGGTGCCTGCACCAGAGCCTCGTCCTTTGGAGCCTCGTCCTTTGCCATCCCAGAGGTTGGCTCCGCAGGGATTTGTGATTGTTTAGGTTTCATTTCGCTGGTGGAGGAGGGAAGCAGAGGTTGTGGGAGTTTTTCGTGTATCATCCCACCGCCGCAATGGGCTTTACAGGCAGCCGCTGCATCCCTAAAGGGAATTAATTTCAACTGGAAAGAAGGTCTGCCAAGTCTCATAAATGCTTCAAACACCTCTGCTCGCCCTGTCGAGGGAGAGATAAGAAACAGCGTAAGCGGCTTTAAACACAGTGGGGCCCGTTTGTAAGCGGGGTCTGACGCTGGGAGTACAGCGCAGCTTTTGTGCTCCCGCCTGGCGATGCTTCAGGCCTGCAGGTGACCAGGATGAAGTGCTTGGAGTTGTTGTCTGCAAAGATTTAATCAGCTGATAGAAAGACCCAAAGACTTTCAAAGGCTGCTGGCAGCATTGAAAATCATTTCAGAGAAAAAGCCTTAGGTTTCTGTGTAGCCACAGAGCTGAATCACCCGGCACTTCTTTGAAAGCATCAGATTCTGGTACAAAGTCATGGGGGACAGTGAAAGAGATGGCGATGGACTCAATTTCACGCAGGGCACAGAAGAGGGTGCTGGGCTAAATAAAAAGCCTTCACTTTGCTGTGCCCCATCCAAGGGGAGCACCCCACGAATGTCCCATGGCCCCGGCTGCCCCTGCTCGCTGCATGGTGCACTTACCTATAGTCCCTACGGGTGCTCCACTCTGGCTCCCCCACTTTTAGGCATCTGACCAGAACCCTGTACTGCATCCGAGTGCCATACCTATGGCTGTCCCACTTTGAGCTAACTAGGACTAATTCTTAGTAATTTCACTCTTTTTTCGCTGTTGGGGCTTTTCCCCCTTCTGCTCCACACAGAGATGGAGCTGCAGTAGCTCTGCTGCTTTTTATTTTCCATCTCTTTCTTGAGTGGGGTGAGAGGATTGTACTTTTTGGTGATTGCTAGTGATTTCCTGTCAGATATTTTCTCTAGAAAATATTGTGCTTAAGCTTAGCCACACAGGTCTTTGCTGAAATGGAAATTGCACCTGCTGAAAATCTCATGCAACGCAATCTTTTAAGCTGAGAAATGATGTGATATATAACGCTGTGGTTTTCATTGTATGGATTTATTTTATTTTATCAATAAATACAAGCATAATGTTATTTGGTAGAAAGAATATTGAAAATACCTACCTTGTTCAGGGTAGAAAATAACAACAGCAGCAAAAAGAGAACAAGAAGTATGTTGCAAGTGATTCATAAAAGGCAAATAATTCAAGCAGCAGCATTTGCAGCAGTGCAGGGAGGCGGTGAGGTTTGAGGAAAGCCAGATACCAGAGTTCGTGCTACAGAATAAAGATAAAACATGCAGCGTATGAGAGGTGGCATGTGGAAAAAGCAAACTCCTGACTTTTTTACAGGCTGCATTTACTCAGATGGTTTTTGTCCACTACATAAAAATTCAGAAAACACATGGTCAGTTATAATTTATAGGTTTTGTTTGGTAATTCCCTCCTAATGGTTGTGCAATAATATATCTATCTATATATATATAGATATACACCATGATTCACCATTGTTGGAGTTTCTTCAGCTTGGATGTGTTGGTGACAAAGCCGCGTGGATCGCTGTGGATCGCTGCTGCTGTCTGGGTTTTGGGGGTTGTGTTTCAGGGTGGGGTGGTTTTTTGTGTTGTCCTTTATCAGTATATATTCCAAAATGCTGCTGTAACCTTTTGAGGGCCAGGATACAGTACTGGGGACGGGAATTGGGCCGTGTCTTTGCTCAGAAAGATCCTTCCTTGAGTATGTGTTTGGTAGAAAGCCACTAAATATAGGGAAAAGGGGGGGTGTCACTTACTGTTCAGCTCTGAGCAGCTCCTAATGACCAAGCCCATCGTCAGCTGAAGGACAGTGGGTTTTGGGGGTGAGGACAGGGGATGATATCCATCCCCACTTGGCCTTGATATTGCTCAGGTTGCCAACCTGCAGGGCTGGAGAGGAGCTAAAACGCCCCTTTTACGCTCCTGGTGCAATTGGTTTTGACAAGGCTATTTTAAACTCTCCATGGACGTGTGGGTCTCTGATCAGAAAGAAAGTGCCCTGGAAGAGCTGCTACACCAATTACAGGAGGCATCGCACCGCGGCCAAGTCGATACCGAGTGGTGCTTGAGCAGCGCAGCGCTCGGCAGCACAAGGTCAGGCACAGCACGGCTCCATCTGTGGGTGCGACTGGGCCCAACCTGGGAGCACCAGGTCCCGCTGAGCTGCCCCTCGCACCCTGCCCCGCAGATCAACTGCTCCCTGCAGCCTCCTGCCTGGCTTGGTTCTTCTCTGGCTTTGTGGATGTTGTGATACGCAGCGTGACAGAGCGTGCGGGGTGCTCTGACACATCTTGGAAACGTCAGTTCGGAGGTGGCAGTAATAGTTTGGAGTTTATTGTTAGGCTCTTGTAATGTAAATATTTTTAACACTTGCACCGTTGTGGATTTCTGGAGGCAACGCTTTCACAGTAAAAGCAAAGGGAAGGGGAAAAAGTATCTGTAGTTAAATCAATGTGAGATGGAGAGTTCTGAAAATACAAGCTTGCTGTTTCTGGGTATAAAAGTCAATTTATTGTTAGGAAAGACAGTACTTTCCGACACTTCTTATTACCAGTTTTAACCTTTGTCGTGTGGCACAGCTGTGTTGACAATCAAGTGAGAACTAAAAGATGGCTGAGACAGATGGGTAGAAGTTCACATCCTCGGCCAGTGCCTTCAGCAGCAACAGGGACAGAAACCCCCCTCCTCTGTCCCCTGACAGGGCTGATGCAAGGCGGCTCTGTCTGTCTGGCAGTGTGTCTGTCCATCCGTGTGTCCCCAGCCCCGTGTCCCTGCTCACGGCACTTGGGCCAGTGACATGGGCAGGCAACAGAGCCTCTTCCCAGCCCAGTGGCAGAGCCTGAAGGAGCAGCAGCCTTCCCAAAAGTGCTTCATCCCTCTCCTCCTCCTTTGCAGGAGACTCTCCTGGGGAGGCTGCTGATAAAAAGCACATCCCACATTTGAAGTAAGTTTTTTGAAATAATCACATTAAAGTAAAAATTGCGCAGGAAGGATGCGATAGGAGACTCCGGAAATGCTGAATTTGGGTGTGTTGGTGGTGATGTGCGGAGATGAGTGGGGCAGGAGGAAGTGTCTGTGAGTTCGTGTGAAACGGCCTTGGTCAGGGTGGGTTTTTTCCTCCCCGCTGTGTTCTCCTTTTCAGCTAACGTTGTTTAACTCTGATTATGAAGGACTATAGGATCATAAGCTATTTTCTTCTCCTATGGTTATTTAGTATTACCACATATATTATATGGTAATATATATATAATGTTCCTTGAATTAAATTTCCCAAATCCCTAGAATGTAACACTGAAAAATTAGATCCCTTGCACGGCCAGGCTGAGCATCAGTCTGCTTTATGGGCCAGACGTGCCAGAATCCAAGCAGGTACTTGGCCTAGCCAAAGCCTGACGCCGCTTTGCATTGCAGTGCAAGTGCATTTGGCGTTTCTCCACCCCGACAGCATTGCTATATGTGTAATATACACAGATGTACGGCTTCCTGGGAGCCTGCTCCTCAGGTCTGGGAGGAGAAATGCAGCTTGGAAACCTGCCAGAGCCATTGGTGCTGGATTAAAAGGAGCAGGTTCAGAGTCCATATCTGCGCTCCAGCTACGTACAGATGTAGTTGTGTATGTCAAATATTCCCCTAAGATCTTATTTTTCTCAAATTGTGTCATTGAGCTAATATAGAGGGATATGTCATCGTTACACTGTGGTGTTTCGCAGAGATTTTGTTGCCTTGTAGCTGTGATTACTTTTTATCTAGTAATTGCTAA